AAAGAAAGAAAGAAAGAAAGAAAGAAAGAAAGAAAGAAAGAAAGAAAGAAAGAAAGAAAGAAAGAAAGAAAGAAAGAAAGAAAGAAAAAGAAAGGATTTGATAGAGGCCGGGACACTGGCAATGACTGGGCAGACGAGAAGTAGCCTGGGCAACGGTCGAGCGATGAAGGCAAGGGCACGTGAACAGGTAGAAGAGAGCATTTCATCACATGGAGACAGATACGGTGACGATGCCCAGTTGGCTGGCTTGGGTACCTGGGGGTCCATGTCCTGAGACAGGAACCAGGGTAGAGGAACAGGGTAGGGTTTGGGGTAGACTGTAATATTAATTTTCAGCTGTCCTGAGATTGGCAGTTAATGTCCTAGAAAAGAATAGAAAAGAATACTCAGCTTGGCAGTGGTGGTGCACACCTTTAATCCCAGCACTCGGGAGGCAGAGCCAGGTGGATCTCTGAGTTCGACGCCAGCCTGGGCTACAGAGTGAGTTCCAGGAAAGGTGTAAAGCTACACAGAGAAACTCTGTCTTGAAAACCCCCCCCCCCAAAAAAAAGGAAAGAAAGAAAGAAAAGAAAAGAAAAGAAAAAGAAAACTATGCTCCTCTCCATCAGATATTTATTGAGTACCTACTGTATGCCGTTTTAGAGTTTAAAGTTCTAGAGACTTTCCAAAGGAAGTCATTCCACAGGCAGGGTAGTCTTGAATATCTTCTTGGTAGGTCATGCTCACTAGCAGGAACAGGGATCAGTATTTGGGATCAGTCATGTCAAGAGTTGAGAAAACACTCACAAAGAGAGACATGTGATAAGGTGCTGATTTAGGGATAGATTCTGTAAAGATAGATGATGTAGGGATACAAGGATGATGTATGTTGTAGGGATGGATGCTGTAAGGATAGATAATGTAGGGATACTGGAATGATGTATGTTGTAAGGATAGATGATGTAGGGATGGCTGCTATGGAGATGGACAATATAAGGACTGATGTTTTAGTATACAGTAGGATGGGTTGTGGCCCAGTTTCTGAACCTTGCCATGAAACATTATCATAAAGTTGAATAGCAATAATCATATCAGGAAGAAGAGACGGGAAACCCAGGTCACACAGCCAAGGTAATGGCAAAGCCAAAAGTAGCTAGATGGAGCTACATGGCCCTTTGGGTCCTATCTGGTACAGACATTTAAGGTTTGGGAATGTTGCCCTTCTTTCTCCAACTCTTGGCTCTTATGAGTTAAGACATATAGAGCCTGTCTCCCACACCTCTCATAAGTGTTATAGTTAGCAAAAATTTGATTTATTATTAACCTCTGGATCTTCTGTTTGTGTTTTCTCTCAAGATTACTCATTTCAAAATTCCAAAAGCTTCTCTCTGAGAATATTGCAAACAGTGGCACCCAAAGCGGGGAAGCAGGTGAGTGGTCACCAGTGGATTCAACCAGAACTATGCTGACTTCATGGCCCTACTATGGTCCCTGTGGAACAGAACCAGCACGAACCACACTTCTCATGCACCACAGAGTCTAACAGGAAACAGGTGCCTGTAAACACTCTTCTATTGTGAGGAGTGGATCCATGCTCCTCACGCATGTATACATGTGACACAATAAAGACAAACATGCTGATAACAATAAGTAGCCTTTAGAAGAGTCTACACATAGCATTCAGGAATAGGCAGCTGGATTTTCGCCCCTTTGGGATTTAAAGAGTCATGATTAACACCCAGCTTGACACTTGTCCCAAAGGACTTTTCTGTGATAGGAGCATAAATCAGAATAGGAAAAAGGTCCATTGATCCAGGTAAGAAAAGTAGAAAGATAACTGTAGTGGTTTTTTTTTTCTGTCTTTTGTTATGCTGGAGACTGAACCTAGGCCCTCATCTGTGCCAGGCATGCACTCTATCCCTGAGCCGCACCCCTACTCCAAAGCCAGCCTCTCGAAGGAGCTGTTTGGGGTTAAACTTCACAGAACAGTTGTCTGAGGTCAGAGGCAGCCTCTTTTCCAAGGGAAAGCTAATAATTCCTTCTCATCCTCCAACTCTAATGGATCTAGAGAAGCAATCTGAGACCTTCTCAGGTGAGGAGAGAGAGCACCAGGACGGATTAGTGATATCTGCTGTGTAGTGGCCATCTTAGAAGTTGAGACTGATAACCAGAGAAGGAGCATGCTGGATCTATAATTCTGTTCCTTCCTATAATCAACCTACATATATGGGACTTTTTCCCCCTAACCCAGCATAACCAAACTACCTGAGGTCATCCAAGATTTGAGACATAAACTCAGTTTCTGAACTCCAACATGAAACAATATCTTAAGTTGGTGAATGACAATGTCAAGAAGGAGAGACAGGTGCCCCAAGTCACACAGTCAAAATAATGGCAAAGCCAAGAAACAGCAAGTGGCCTTCTAGGTCATGTCTGGTTTAGAACAATGGTCCCTTTCACCAGCCTCTCCCCCACCTCTGCACTAACAGTAAGAGTTAAGTCACCTTATGCTTTACCCACCCCCATCATGCCTCACTTGGCATCATTCACCTGCCCTCTGATTAAGGTCTCTTCTAAATCATCTATGAGAGACACAGGTCAGACAGCCCCACATAAAGCATTCCATGGTTTGTAAAAGGCTTTCTTTATAGTGCCATTTTACTTCAATATGAAGCCCCCTAAGAGAGTCCACTCAAGAGGGTCCCTAAAGGTCCTTCTGAGCTGTTTTCAAGCCCCTGAGTTAGAGAGAAGCTTACATGCCTTGGAAATCTACAACTTCGTCAGCAACCCTCAGAGCACGGATCGCCATAACATTGTCACTTGGTCCCTCTCAAAGCCAGCAAGCGCTTGGTCCCACACTACCCAAAGGCCTGGGAAGCCACTTGTCTCTGCTATCTACTGAGTAACTGTGGCCATTGGGAGGAGCCTATTATTTATCTTCAGGTAGCAGTGTTCCCAAGTGTGACTCAGCATCACTTTCTCTCCTCAGACGTGATTCTAGAATGCCTCGGCTTCAAGTGGGAACTCCATCACCCTCAGATTTTTCAGTCTGAGACCTTGGCCAAGCTTTATTTGACAGCCCTGATGCAGAACATAAAAACCCCCTCAAGGGAGCTGAACAGGATTCTGAAAGGTAATCTCCCAGGGGACCTGGGACTAGAGCTGCAGGTACCCTCAGGATTGGAAGAACATGGTCATTGATTGGCATATGGTCATCTTCATTAGTGATAAATCATGCTCTACAATGTGAGCTCACCATGAGTTGAACCTGCTTCCTCAGTCGTGAAGTGGGATGGTAGTTTTTGATGCATGACTTTGAAGCCTAGAGGAGGTAATGGGTGTGGGATTCTAGAACAATAGCAAGTGCTCAGTAAATCCCCATTATTGCCTTTATAACAAACAAGTCTTATCCAGCCACTGAACACACAGAGCCTACCTACTATTTAGAGTAGACAAGATGAGTTCTGTTGAATCACCTGAAGAACTTTCTGGAAGGAAAGCATAGCTCCGAAATCTGACTTGTTTGCCCTGTTCATGCTGGTTAGAGGTTAAGATGTGTTTTTCCTTCTGTTCTCTTCCCTGCTGTTCTACTTTTATTTTCTTTTTCTCAACTTATCTCCTTCCAAAAAGAATTTAGCTCACTTCTTTTATTCCCTCCTCTTTGCACCCTAACCACCTTGGCCCTCCTCTTTCCTAGTCCACATGTCTTCAGCAGTTACAAGACCAATTTCTTTGGGCAACAGCCTGAGTATACTCAAGATTGACTCATAAGGAGGTGAAATGGAAAATTCATGGTCCCCAAAGCTAGCCAGCATGCTGGTCAAAGTGAGATTGTATTTTCAGGTCGTGGAAGCCATGCTTTGTTGTTCTACAGCCAGCCAGGCAGCCAGAGTCCCCAGTCAGGACCCCTCCCTGAGCCTGGAGTGCACTCTCCTACCTGCTAGCATCCACCTGGCCTAACAGCATCCGAACTGGCATGGAGTCAGATAGGTGAGCCACTTGTGACTCCCCACAGGAGCATGGAGACCTGAGCCCCTTCCTGTGATGTCTTTTCTGTTCCTAAGCATTTGCCTCATGTCCTCTAGAACAGGCTATACTCCTCCATCTTCCCAGAGCTCAGGTTAGACCACCTACTGAGTCATCAATGGAGGCTCTGATGACTTAGAGAGGGAGTACACTGGAAAGGAAGAGAGCCAGTGGTGGAAAAGGGGGCAGTGCTCATGGTATCTTTCATGGGTCCAGAAGAGTGTCCCTAAAGACTAGGTCCTGCCCCTCTAACCCAAGATCCCTGCTGGTGACAGTCTAGCTGCAGATACCAGAAAAGATATAGTAATGAGAACTCCATGTCCATGACTGTCACTGCCCTCCTCATAACCACACACACTGACAAGTGCCAGGGCATACATTCCCAGGGTGTCTCATGCAACCATCACCACCTTCTCTGTGCCTTTAGAATTAAACAGAGCCTCCAGCCCAAGGCTGCACACTGATCTCACAATCATTGCTTGGGTCTCCCTGGGAATGTCTGTGCACTGTCCTGGAGTTGGCATGGATGAGGCTTCTGGAAAAGTGCTGGAGAGCTGTATGTTCCTGAGGCCTCCCATGGCTGCTCATCCTTTTTCTACCTAACATTGATGGGCAACTGAACTAGGAGCTAGTGTTTATTGTCTAGGATGATATCCAAAGGAGATGACCTCTTTTACTAAGCACACTCCGACTGCCTTGATTTCCACAGACCTCAGGAGCATGGTTAGCTTCCTATCTGTCTGGGTATTGGTGACCTAACCTGGAGGGAAGGTTGGGCCTGTGTGTCTGTCTCTCCGTCCTAGCTCATATTATCTTTTCCTTCAAAACTATAGGCTGTTCTGCTTTACCAGGCATTGTGCTAGGTATCTAGGGGGATATTAAAACACCTCAAAAAATGATAAAATATGGTAAGCAGCATGATCCATTATAATACTAGCCACCCCTCCTGTGTGTATACTGTGTGCAAGGCATTTGTGTGTAGTGTCTTTCGCTTTCTGCAATGGGGTGAGTAACTGGCAAGAACATGCATTCAGGAGACCATGCAATCAGGCCAAGAGCAAAGTGATCCAGAGCTTGGTAAAACCTGGCACTTGGTACAGAGGAAGGCAAGCATGGCATTTAGTGGGTACTTCATAAATATCTGCTGAATGTTAAGTCTGAATACAGATAAATGTCAGAGGGTTGTAAGGGGATGCTGAGGAAAAGGAACTTTTGTTGGCTCATTTTTCTGAAGCACGACTTCCTCTTTGGAACCATCTCATGCAGTCTTGAGCTCTGTGATGCTAGAACCTATTCATTTTGTCGGTTCAGCTAATATTGACTTAGAGCCAGTGTGTGAAAGACCATGGCACATCCTGGGGATGGTGTGGCTAGTGAACCATCAATGTGCCTGCCCAGTAACAGCAGATCGGTGGTATAATAGCAGGTTGTGGTAAGTTGGTCTTTGGAGAAGAAACAGGCCATGTAGTTGGGGTAACGGTGTTGTCTTCCATATGGGGTGAGCCAGGGAAGGCCTCTCTGAGAAGGGGACCCATGTGTAGGCCCTTAGAGAAGGAGAAAGGCAGGGAGAGAGTACCACACTATTCAGGGAAGCAAACCCAGACTGGTAAGTTTAGAACCTAGGGAGAGGTTAGAGGCCAGGAAGCTCCTGAGATCATAGGCGAAGCTCTGGCCTCTGTGCCAAGGAGAAAGGATGCTCTTGGAAACTTGGAAACACCCTCTGAGAGTCTCAGTTTAGAACAACTCTAAGTACCTGGGCTAGCTAACAATGAATTGGCCTGCCCCATCCCTTCACCCAGAACTCTTCGGTGGCAGGGGTTCTCAATCTGAAAACCCATGGGGCAAAGCATCAGAGAGCCACCGTATGGGACTTGTGAGACAGCTCAGCAGGCAAAGGTGCTTGCCTTTGTCCAAAAGTTTGATTTTGGTCTCTGGGACCCACATGGTGGAAGAAGAGAACCGACCTACACATGTGCCATGGATATATGGACGTAATAACATTTGTTTGTTTGTTTTTGAGACAAGGTTTCTCTGTATAAACAGTCCTGACTATCCCGGAACTCACTCTGTAGACCAGGCTGGCCTTGAACTCACAGAGCTGCCTGCCTCTGCCTCCCAAGTACTGAGATTAAAGGTGTGCGCCACCACCGCCCGGCGTAATAATGCTTTTAAAAAGAAGAGAGCCACCATGTGATGCCACAGTCATCTGCTCCTCCTGCAGCAGGTAGCCGGTTGTGTTCCCACTTGCTACTTGCTCTGCCCGGGCAGCCCAGGCACCAAAACCAGTGGCTGAGGCCTGCTTTGCCCTCAGACTGCCTGGATGGGGGGAATGGAAGAAGGGCAGAGAGAGGGGCAGAGAGCAGGACACAGGAAGCAAGTCCAGCAAGGCAATGCAGGTTTCAGTCACCATCTTGGCAATGCTAAGATCACTGGGGGAAGCAGGAAGAGAGTGGCCCAGGGACTCCTGTGCCACTTTGCAGCCTCTCGTGAGTCTCAAACTATTTCAAAATAAGTTGTCGCGGCTAAAATACATCCACCCAACAATCAAACTAACAATACAAATGACATGGGCCAAGACCCAGGCTCTGTGCAGGGTGGGTGGGCCTCATTCTCCATCTTCACACTGCATTCTCTTCACTAGCTCAGGCACCTAAGAAGATCAAAGAAAAGTCCCCTGTGAAGAAGATCATCATTACCTTGAAGGTCAATGACCCGGCAGTCACCAGAGTCGGTAATGTAACCCGTCTTTCATATTCTGAGAAGGCCACTGAACAGTCAGTCAGTCCTCCCAGAGACAAAACTGAACAGCAAAAGACAGCAATCAAGAGATACATGCTCTTCCTCGAAACTACTAAGTCAGTACCGAGCCTGCTGCGTAAGCACCAGGATCCACGTTCAGATCTTTGCACATAAGGAAAAGCCAGATGCATGCACATCTGTAACCAAAGTGCTGGATGGGGTCAGGGAGGCAGACATGGGCAGGCCTTAATCAGTGGCCAGCCAGCTGAGCCAAAGTGATGAGATCTAGGTTCAGTGAGAGACCCAGCCTCACAAACAAAAGGGTGGAGAGTGATTGACAAGACATCTGACATCAACCCCTGGCCTTCACACACACACACACACACACACACACACACACACACACACACACACACACACACACACAGTGGGGGTGGGAAATGAACAGTCCACAGAAAGAAGGATCAAGAAGGCTGGGACACATATAGGAAAGCAGATCACTCCTAAGGATCAATGTGGCCACTGGTCAGGGGACAAGATACAGGACTGGAAGGATGTTCAGGCTTCTCAGACCTGGGGGAAACCACCCTACTGAGCTCACACCCGTAGAGTACAGGGACACCACAGGCTTACCCTTCTTCCCAAACAGTGTTTGGCCTGGCCCCCACCACACTGGTCCCCACTGACTGGCTTCCAGCAGCAGTAGCAGGTTCCTGCGGAGTTTTCAACCTTTCCTCAGCTTTCCCAGGCAGTCATCTGTGTGAACACAGCTTGCACGACAATGCTGTGATGACACAGGTCTGTAGGGAGGTAGGTCAGGAGCACCGCAGATGATGCCCTGGGCCACTGGTACAGACAGCTCATGGTCCTCACAGTACACTGCAACAGCATAGCCCTACCGTCCTGGCACATGTTGCATTCCCAGGAGGCCAAGTCCATCCGACCTCTAGCCAGACAGTCTGGTCTCTAAATCACTGAATTATCCTGATTTCTTCCCGGAAGTGCCTGGCCTCTTCTGAAGTTCTCAGATTCCAGGGGAGACCCATCATTAAGCTCCATGGCATGGACCTAGAGAAAAAGTGCACCAGCCTGTAGGTAACATTCTCCACAGATTCAAGAAGACACATTCCTGGGGTGGGGGTGGGGGCGTGGACCCCAGGTTAGGGGAGATATGCTGGGGGACATGTCGGCCCCGTGGTTATCTGACACACAGACTCCAAAGACAGGCTCAAAGGAGGATCCTTATAGTGGAGATCAGCTGTCCTCACCTTCATCCTCAGCTTCCATAGGAAGCTGCGGGTCCAGGTGGACATCTGCCCAGGTAGTCTGCACCCAAGTCAGCGCTCACCTTTCCTCCAAGCATCTACACCCATGCCCGGCTACAGGAGTAGTGAGACCCCTGGGTGGGCACACAAATCCCACACTAATGGCTTCCCCTCTGCTGCCGCTCCCCCAGCCTTCGCCCTGGCCCTGAAGAACCTCTACATGGACGAGGTAGAGATGAATGTGGACAATGTGCTGGGCGTGCTGGCCTCTGCTCACATCCTCCAGTTCAACCGCCTGTTTCAAAAGTAAGGATGACGGGAGGGATAAACCAGCCTGTGCAAACTTGGAGTAGTCTTTTTTAATTTTTTTAAATGATGTATTTATTTATTATGTATACAGTATTCTGTCTGCATGTGCACCTGTATCCAGATCTCATTATAGATGGTTGTGAGCCACCATGTGGTTGCTGGGAATTGAACTCAGGACCCCTGGAAGAACAGCCAGTGATCTTAATCTCTGAGCCATCTCTCCAGCCCAACTGGGAGTATTCTTCGAAGCTCATTTCATGATACATTCCTCTTCCTCGGAGTTCCCTTTGTACCAAGCATGACTTAGAACCCAGAAAAGGACATCATGAAACTCACCCTGATGCACTAAGTGTTTATGACAGCCCCCATTATTTTTGTGCGTATCAGCCAAGTAGTTCTTGATTCACAGGAATAAATTACAAGTGGGGGGACCCTACCATGGGGAGAGTTTATGCAGGTATGCAAAGTGACTTCCCTCAGACCTGGCTCTCCTATCGATTTTACCTGAGTTCATTTGGGAATAAAAAACCTTCTCCATAAAGCACACACACACCTCAGCTGGCTTCCTCACTTCTGCCTGTCCTCCGACCTCTCACTTCAGATAAAGCTTTGTGTTATTTTTGAAAATTTTTTTTAATTGTTGAGAATGTTGCATATAGTCACGGTAAATCTTTTGGAAAGGGAAAAATGCAAAGATCAGGCCAGGGAGCAGCCCAGGTGCTAGAGACACTTGCCACAGCCTGGTGACCTGAATTTGATCACCACGACGCACATGGTGGAAGTAGAGAACTAACTCCCTCAAGATGTCCTCTGACCTCCACATGTGCCCAGTGGCCTGTGAATTCCTCTCTCACCCACAAAGTTGATTGATGTAATCTAAAATTCGTTTTTATAAATGCAAAGATCAGATGTGGCCATGATCCCAGTGTCTGCTTTGGGGTGTGGCCTTCGTGGCTGGGCTGCTGATTGGTCTGGCTGCCCAGCAGGTGGGCTCATGGAGCTTGAGGAAGACCAGGAGAATTAATTAAGTCCAATGTTAAAGCTTCTGCATTCTGAAGTCACCTGGGCCCTGGAGCTTGTATATCATGAGAACCCGAGGATACATCTCAGCCTTCAGTGATGTAGACTAATGGGGCTTGGTCACCAGCCCCCCACTTACCAAAAGGGCTTTTTTTTTTTCAGACTTCAAAGCAACTGTATGAGTGAGAGGTGAAGGCCCTGTTTAGTTCTGTAGTAAGTTACCCATTCACCACATGCCACAGTGGTTTGTGTCATAAACTGTGGCTCATCATCATCCCCTAACCACTGCCTGGGATTTCCCTAGGGAACATGGGCCCCAAAGCCTGGAGATGGCATGTTGGCCATGGTCAGACATGGTTCTCAGCTTTCTGCAGGGCCTAGCTCCTTCTCCCTACCACTGTCCTCCCCACAAGCAGCCCTGAGAGCTGGCAGTGTTCCTGATCCAGCTCTACTAGTGAGGAGGCTGGGGCCTGAGAGACACAAAACTTGCTTCCAAGTAGAGCGGCCAGGACCCCAAACCTACAATTATTCACCACACTGTCCCATTTGGCTTGGGTGAGGTAGCCATGTTGTCACTTGCTTCTGTGAGGTCCTAACCCCTTCTAGGGTGCTGGTCAGGGGAGGTTTTGCTTATTCAGCCCTCATTCACTCCTCTGCTCCTTCCAGAACTGTTTCTTGGGCTTCTCTGGGATGCAGAGGGACAGATGGGCAAGCGGCTGGGCTTGCAAGCCTATGGCTCAAAAGTCCCCACAACACAGGAAATGAGTCAGGCAGGGTGGAGTGAAGTCAACAACTCCTGAAGGTTGCCTTCCTTCGGGCTGGGTAGGATTCACTTCAAGCACAATTTGTGTCTGTGATAAGCAAAGACACTTCTCTGAAATCCTCCTCTTAGCATCTCTTGAAGTGCCTTTGTGCTGGCGCTTCTGAAAGGGTATGTGTGCCACATGGAAATCCCTTTGTGGGATTTGTCTTTCTAGACTCTCCTGTTCCTTCTCCAAGTTGCAGGGATGTATACCCACTGAATCCGTTTGGTCCTGAAGACAGGCATGGAGTGAAGTTACGTGATGGTCTGATTTCCTATGCAATTGTGATGCAATTCCGTGCAAAGACTTAGATGGTCTGCCTGGCTCATTTAACCTCCTCGGACCTCAGGGAGGTTTTAGTTTGGGTTGTAGCTGACAAGGCCATACTGTATAGCCTAGGCTGGCCTTGAACTAGCAATCCTCCAGACTCAACCTCCTGAGTGCTTGGATTACAAGGATCTACCACAGCTCCTTGGCAAGCCTCAGTTTGTATAAGTGAATGAATATCCCGCTCAAGCCAACAGAAGACGCCAGGTCTTCTGGAGAGGGAAGAGATGACTTTCTCCTGGGGAATCTGGAAGGATCTCACTCATTAATTTTAGAGGCTACACATTCAGATTCAATGCTACATGTTTCTGAGCTATCAGCCCATTCCCTGGGGTCCTTGAGGGTGTGTCAGGTCAGGTACTCCCCCTGGAGCTTCTCAGAGGCCAATTGGGGATACAGATACCCCACAAGCCAAGGACTCTTCAGGTGTGCAGAGGTCCAGACTAGTCTTGAGGGGACACATTGAGAGGGGTCTGGGGTCTGAGAAAGACTTCCAGCATGTCCGTGTGGCCAGACTTGCAGAGCTGCGTAGCTGCTCATGATGGGAGATGAGTAGCTGAAGTCCGAGTCAGTTTGTGTGGTGTCTTGCGGTTGTCTAAGGAAGCTGGCCTCGACTATGTAGGCGATGATGGATGGGCGAGTCGGACTTTGCCTGAGACTTCCCATCTTCCTTATGTTGTAGCTGACACCCACTTCAGCTCAGCCCAGTCCGGTGGTTCTCAACCTTCCTAATGCTGTGACCCTTTAATACAGTGTCTCATGTTGTGGTGACCCCTGACTGTAAAATTATCTCATTGCTACTTCATAACTGTAATTTTGCCACAGTTATGAATCATAATGTAAATATCTAATATTCAGGATATCTGAGATGTGATGCCGAGGGGTCACGACCCACAGGTTGAGAACTGATGGCTCAGCTGGTTATCGTAATACCTACGGAAGGACAGCTTGCCACTCACATCATTTCTGAGCAGCTTTTTCCTGGGCCCACATATTGAGAGGGTGGCTTTCCTCTTGAAGTGGGCTTCTAGCCACCTTCAGTCTCCGCCCACCACCTCTGATACTGGAAGCTCTGTATGACTGTTTAGCATCACGTTTCTCTAATACTGGAATCCCTGTATGACTGTTAGCATCACGTTCCTCTGATTCTGGAAGCCCTATATGACTGTTAGCATCACGTTCCTCTGATACTGGAAGCCCTTTATGACTCTTAGCATCATGTTCATCTATGGAAGCCAAGAAGAGCAGGTCTCTATTCCCCTGCCTCCTCCCTTGTTTTATTTTGAGTACCAGAACAGGAAGAACGATGGTCATAACAAGCCAAGCCTCTTGACCTGCTCATGACCCTGGGCACATGGGGCCTGCCCCAGATTCTTCAGATGATAACAGTGGGCTTCGTATTCTAGGTCAGAGGCCAGGCAGGCCTGCCACACAATTGAGCCTGTGTTTGAGACGCCGGTGGTACAATTGATAGGGATGTGCTGGTCATGAGTGTGGTGTGCATGAGTGTGTGCGCATGCATATATGCTCGTATAGTAGGACCACAGGGCCCCTGGGTCACTCTTACCACACTGTAACTTCAGGCATCAGATGAGACCCTGAGGAGTATCTCAGCTGAGATCCTGGTTTATGAGAAATCAACCCTGACAGCTACTTGAGTCTGAATCACACATCCTGGAGGTCTTTCACAGATGGAACCTGTGCACACATGTGTCACTTGGTGATGTTGCCTAGGTCCTCTCATTGATGTTTGCATTGGTACCGAGGCTGGGATCACAGATGAGATCAGTGCCGTGACAGCATGACTCAGGTTGGCTGGAGCAGAAGAGGAAGCGAAAGGTGAATCAGGAGTTTAGGATGAACCCAGGTCAGATAGGACCTCAGAGGTCACATCAGCAACTTCCTCTACTTGGTTTACAGTCATCAGAGGGGGGGACCTGAAACATGAAGAATGGTTAAGCAGGAACCCCTCTGTGGTGTGGGCATAGTTCTTTGGGCACTGTGGGAGGCTGGCACTAAGGAAGAGCTAGGAGGCAGAGAGGATCTGAGCTAGGTTCGGGGAGAAAAGAGACCCAAGAGACATGAAGATGAGAACTAATGGGCTTTGCAATCTTACGAACCAGCAGTGTTAAAACAGAAAGTGGGGAATCCTGATAGGCCCTGGCAGAAATGAATATATTCTAAAAAGACGTTTGTCTCTCTTGATCTGTCAGACTACTGAAACAATGGACCACAAAGAAATGAAAATTTCCCCAGGAATCTCTTGCTGAGAAAAGGAAAAGGTGCCAGCCAGAGGGAGAACTTGTGGCCCAGAAAAAGATTCCACACAGTTCTGACTACTTGTTAAACAACCGTACAGGATGAGACTGAAGGCCAGACAGTGATGGGTGCATGGTGGGCAGAGTCTTCTAGTTAAACTTTAATCTCACACCAGAGCCCCAAAGGCAGAGGTGAGGTGGTACAGCTATTGAATCTCATCTCTCTTTGCCAATGTGCCCACATAAATAAATACAAATTTATTTATTAGCAGAACTTATTAGCAAGAATAAATCTCCTTTTTTTTTCTGCTTTCTACTTTTAATTTGGCTCTTTTAAATGGCTTATTGAGGCTGGGTGGCTGCACCTGGCTTGGGACTCAGGCTGTGACTCATAAGTTTGATAACAAGATTACTGTAGGCCTAGAATCAGCTCAGCACAGGGTTCTCCTGTCCTCAAGCCTAGCCCTGCTGGGGCAAGTCTCCTGGCAGCAACAAGGCCATCCTAGAACACAAGGGTAGAGGGTAACTTGGTCATGGCCAGGTTATTTATTCATTCACTGGTTATTTCTTACCTTATTCTAGCACAGGCTTTAAAATCAATACATAAAATAAAAGCAACTGGACACCTTAATTTATTTTTACTTTTTTTTTTAGGGAGAAAGAAAAACAAAGACTTGTCTACCATAACATAGGTACACCACATATTCAGTTCTGAATGTTTTAGCAGCTAAGACTAGGGGAAACTTGATGGGTTACATGAGATGGAAATTAAAATTACCTAAAAAATGTAGAGAAACAAATCACTTGGGAGATTCACAGCAGTTGTGGGTATCTTCAGTGTCCTCAGTGATAGATAGCCAAAGAGGAAACAGACAGTGAGTCTCTGTTCTTTTTCACATTGGCAAAGGTGCCACAGCAAAATAGAAGTCAGTAAAAGCAGTTCTCTAGGGGTGTGGGGGTTGGGGAGCCCCCTGCTCACTGGCCACTCTGGCTTCAGTGATGGATATGTTCAGAATATGTGGGGCCAACGAGATGGCTCGGAGCAGAAAGACACATGCCACCAAACCCAAGAACCTGAGTTTGATCCCTAGGAACCCCCAAGGATCCAGGAACTGATTCCTGTAAGTTGTCCTCTGAATCCTACATGCATGCCTTGGCCTTCACATACCTATACACCCGCCCCCCCCACACACACACCTACACAGACATACAGATATACACACACACATGCACACATATACACACACCTACACAGACATACAGATATACACACACACGCACATATATACACACATGCACATAAATGTAATTAATAAGTCACCACTTAGCCTTGAAGTGAATCTCAACTGATTTTACCATGACCACAGGGTGATAATGAGCCCACATGATGCCCTGAGAGGTCTGTGTCAGCTTGCTTTCTGTGCCCTCTTTGGTAAGGTGAGCATGCCTCATGCCTGAAAGTGACCTATGACCTAACATCAGATAAGAAGGTTAAGTGACAGATGCTTCTGAGATGCCACCTTCTATGTGGCACGCCACCCTTCTACGGCTCCCGACCTCCAGCTCACTGCGGTCGTCCTTCCGTCTCTCTGCATGTCATCTCTGTCATCCTCGTTTTTCCTCCACCGTCTGCACACATTCCTGCCGCTGGCCTTCTCTCGGGGTACTGGCCTCTCAATCCCTACCCCAGCCACTTCCTTGTCCTGCTGTTTCAGGTCTGAAATTCTACTCTTTGGGTTTCTGATTGCTTTTCAGATTTAAGCACAATCAGATTCCTTCTTTTCTGCATTCCCATGGTACCTTATGCTCTAGCCTTTTAGCCCAAGGGTGTCCAACCTTTTGACATTGAGACATGACGTCATCTGCAAATGTGTTGGGCTGCAGTTTGGGTGTGTCTGTCCTAACCCCCCTAACCAATTGTAACAGCATGGTAATCTGTTCAAGTGTGTACTTAGCAGTGTGTGTCTTCCCATTGGCCGTTAGCTTTGTTCCTTGCACATCAAAGTCCTGGGCCTGTGTCAGGCACATGGTATGTGATCAGTAAACAGAATTTTGGTGAGGAATTGTTAAGTGGGAACCAGACCTAGTTATGAGAAAGAACTGAGATGTTCATCAGAAAGTTACTGTTGGAATTCGTTAGTGGACAGAAAGGAATAGCATTTGAAGCCACCTAGCAGTGTGTCAGGAAGAAAATGCCTTGGGCAGGAGGGCACCCAGAGGCCATCTTGGTAAACTTCTCTGGCTCTAGGCCATGGTGCCACTCTCTGCTGAAGAGGCTCCTCAGTTGCCCTCTGAAGAGCCTGAGCTCCTTCCGGCCTCACCCCTCTCCCTTAGCCCAGAGCTCTTATAACAGGCCTGCTGGTTTTGTTCAAATTCCTAAAATAAGGGCTCCCTTCCCAGTGAGAGGTCTCTGCTGCCGCCCTAGCGCTGAACAAAAGTCTCTGCTCCCACCTTCTCTGACGGCATGTGGGAGTCATCAGTATTAGCAGCCCTCTCTCCACAGGTGTGTCAACATGATGTTGTCCAGACTCACACCGTGCACCGTCAAGAACTTCTATCTGGCTGGCTGCAAGGTGAGACCAGCTGGGTGGAGTATGTGGGCCCTGGGGTGCCAGGGTTTCAAAAGCACCCAGCTCCCGGATGTCATCCACTGGGCCTAACTCCAATATGTCTACTCAAAAGCACCTACTCAAAAGTAGAAATACTTAACTTTAAAGTGTTAAAAAAAATTTTTTTAAAGATGCATGAACAAGAAAAAAATAGCTTGAAAAACCTTAATCTTGGGATTTGAGAACAGTTTCTAGCATGACTTTTCTCAGCAAGGCAGCAAATACCTTCTGGAACATAGACGGGACCATGAGCTCTCGTCCCACCTGGGTCCAATCAGTGTGTCAGTGTTGGGAACAGTAATACAATGCAGCTCTTGTTATCAGAGGACAATGGACATGAGGAGGGATGCAAACTACTCAGGGTACTAATTGCTGAAGGCCGGTGCTGATTCCCAAGCCTTACCTCCTAATTCTAACCCCTGCCCTGAAGTTCCCACTCACTGACTAGTGGCACACTCTTCAGGGCAAGAGTTCCCACATAGCCAGCATGTCATGATACTTACCTAAGAAAGACCCTCAGTGTTTGTCAAAGAACCATCTGGTTCCCAGAGTCACTCCATGGGACTAGAAAGTGTCGCTCTTAGTAGACACCCTTGCATTCTGGTTACCATTTCTCAGCAAGTCATTAGTCCAGAAAAACTCATGTCCTCAGGACATGCAAGGTCTGCCCAGACCCTCTCAACCCATGTCCTCAGGACATGCAAGGTCTACCAAGACCCTCTCAAC